CCCTGCAGAGGTGCGGTGTGTTTAAATCCCTCCGCGGCCTTCCGTAAATGGGCCAAATGCTGCTCCTCGAGGGGTTTCTTCAGGCTGACGCGGTGCAGCAGCACACATTCCGGACTCCTTGCGCGGAAGAACACGGCTCGCTGCTGCAACGCTCCCGCTTGATCCCAGCCTGGCTCCTCCCTTAGCTCCAAATCCAGGTTTAGCACACAGGGGCTGGTGGGCACGAGTACCGGCATTCCAGCTGGGAATGCTACCGCGCTGGAGACAGAACCGCTCCGCGCACTCTGCCGCTAAAGACGCCACTGGGGTGACTGTGGGAATGCCCTGTGACCCTGGGCACCTCTGCCTCTACACCTGTACCACGTCACCTCTGCAGGCCTGCGGGCGTAACTGCTGCAAGGAGGGAATTATAGCTAGCTCTTAGGATAAAGCATGATTTCTGTCAGCCAGATTCCTTCCTTTTTTTCCTCCCGACTTCAGGCTTACACTGCTTTTTCTCCTCCGCACGTGTGTGGTAATTCGATAAAATAAACACGAGACAGGTTAATCCAGTGACCGGAAAAGTAAAGCAATCGGGGAGCTGTCGGTTCACCTGCGTGCTGCTGCCGCCCACTTCCACAGGTCCTGCCCAAGACTGGGGTACGGGCTTCGACTCTGCCCTGCCGCTCCGCTTCGGATGGGAGGCTACCCATCGCCTGCTCCGCTACAGCCTGGGGAGGGGGGCAAGGAAAAAAGGCGGAGGCGAGAGCAATCTGAGAACTGTAACTGCTTTCTTCCTGTTATTTTTAAAACCCTGCAGGGTTTTTTTTTTAAAAATGAAATCTTAGTAGTATACTTCTAGTTATCTGCTGCGAAGGAAAAAGGAAATCAAGGTAACGGCAGCGAGAGGCGGGCTTGGAAATGATCTCGTACGCGTGCTGGATCACAAAGAACCCGTTGTGTTTAACCCACTCATCTCCTTGTAAACATCTGCTAACCCTCCGGCGCTCTCAGAGGGTTATGGATTATTCTAGAAAATCACATTTAGAAGGATAATTAGTTACGTGAGATACCAACCGATTCATATTTAATACATTTTTTTCTTAAATCCATACAAATATAAATAAAGAATGGCAAAACTCCAAGAAAAATAATATACATTTAGTGCAAGTTATGAGTTACGTTTCTTCCTACCATGTCAGCAGCGGAACGTCGTCTGCGGGGAAGGAGAAATAAAAACGACTCTTCCCAAATTTTACACGGGGGGAGGGGAGGGGGAGTACACATCTCCAGTGTTGCAGCATGCAATTTGTACCAGATCCACGTATCCAGAGTCCTTCCAGCTCTCGGCCAGGACAGCGGTATTTTCCCTCGCCCTGCCCAGCGTCGGTGTGTTTCGTAGTGTTTTCGATACAAAAATTGCATAAGATCAGGTCGCGCTGTTCACGCTTTCTGCGGCCAAACCAGGATTTTCCTCCGAGCGTCACCGGGCCGGGCCTCGTCCCGTCCCGCGCGGTCCTTGCGAGGCAGTACCTGTTCAACCCGGTTGCGTGGCGGTGGACCGGGCGTTTCGCAGCGTACAGACCCGCACGCGTAATGGCACGGGAAAAACCTTCCCTCCTTGCGATCAAACCTCAGGGACTCACAGTACATCTCAATATGAGAAAGAGCTGCTTCAAAAGGGCACACGGATTTTGACGAGGCTCTGTTACGGCTCAGGAGGGAGAGAGAAAGCTCTTCTGGAATGTAGGAAGGTGACGCGTAATAGCGATAGGTTTCACGAGTTAACACAACGGTTTTCAATGGGAAAAAGGGCAAGACCTTTCAGTTTCCGTACGATGGCTCCGTTCCAAGCGATCCCTCCAGAAAACGGGGACTCCCACCACACAGCCCTCTCCAGTGCTGAGGTACCAGGCGGGGCGTGGAGGATCGCGCCACCTCGCCCGGCTCGCTGCACTCTCATGGCAGACCTGACCTCAGGACGCATCCAGTGCAGGGCGGCGCCTCTCCCTTCCCCACTCTCCCATCAGCCTTCCTCCTCGCCACGTACTCCCCCAGACCGAGTCCCGATGTCCGGCAGCACCGTCAGGCAAACCCCCCGCTCTCGTCTCTGATGTTAGCAATACCTCCCGGACTAGAGTGTTGTGCTGTCCAGCAAATGCACCTCCTCTTCCGTTGCCTCCCTCTCCTCAGCTACGGCCTTCAGTTGAACATGATCGAGGCGGGGTCGTGGTTTGCCGTCTGGGCCATATGACGGAGGATATCTTTTTTTGTGACAATGCCAAGGAGGCGCCTGAAAAGGATAAACAGAAGCCTGGCGTTAATCCGAGGAAGCGGAAGGCATCTGCAGCCAAGTCCTTTTTGTTGACAGGAACAGAGCGAAAAGTAAACAGCCGCATTTTCTGACCCAAACAAGAACCCCCTGTTGATCAGAATGTCGAGGAAGCACCGGCTTGCTGGAAGACAGCAAAGCTGAGACCTTCTCAGAGGGTCTCTGGCAGCTGCAACCCGTTTCAGTGAAATGCAAGTAGAGCCCAGGACAATTTTGGAACTTTTTGTTTCTACAAAACCAGAATTTTGATGAGCGTATGCCAACAAAAAAGTACCAAAGAGGGACAAAGGAAAACGAGGCATGAAAAAGAAGCGATACCGACCCCACTTTGGACGGGAAGCCCCTCCCGACCTAGCCATCAGGAGTGATGTACCGCTTGATGGCCCAAAACCCTAATGGGAAAATCCCGCTTCCCTCCATTTTCACATGGAAAGGATCCTGCCAGCCCGACGCGCTGGCTCAGGCTGAACGTGTTCATAGGAGCACACTGTGTCGGCCACGGAGCTGGGCAGATAAACCCCACGGAGCTGGGCAGATAAACCCCACGGAGCTGGGCAGATAAACCACAGCTGACTAGTTTGCGGGGTTCACGGCTTTAGAAAATCGACTGTAGGTAATCAAGCTCTCATTTCCCAATTTGGATACGGTGCTCTTATGACTGGGTCTTCACGGCTTTTCAGACTAAAACTCTGCCAAATATCAACAGGGGTGAAGCTGTCCAAAAGGATAATGTCCCAGGAGAAGCAACGAGCAGAAAGGCTGAGCTGCTGCCCTCGTTATTCCGGTCAGAACATGTCGGTTTGTCTTAGGAGAGGAGGCATGAAATACTTGTGAAACATGAGCGTAAAACGAGAACGCAGTCAGCACGTTTTGCACTAAACGTGGCGGGTGGGTCGAGTAGAGATGGAACTAGCAACCCCCGTCCAAATTAAGACAAAGGCTACCTTCTATCCAAGGTTAGTTCCCAACGCCGCACCTAGATTCCGAAGTCGGAGGCAACAGGGCAGCACGCCGCTGGGTGCCTATCGCTCTACGTTCCGTAAGGGAGAGCGTTCACCGCTGCAGCTAACAGCGGCACAATCACACGACCCCATGTAAAATCCCAGGTCTTTACCAAAAATAAGAGGACTTTTCAAAAACCACGTTGATGAAGGGGGATGGCAGGGTAGGTCTAATGCTGCGATACACGAGAACAGGCTTGGCTTCTCAAAAAGCCTGAGCTCACTTTGCTGCCGAGGTCGGAAAAAGAAGTCGGCACATACAAAACGATCTTAATTTGCGGGAGTCACGGCAAAAGAATTCCTCGCGGCGTGCTTTCCCACCCGGGGGGACCAGCACATCATCGGCTAGATGAAGCTGTGCCGCCTCGGGAACAAAAAGCTCAGGAAGTTGTGACTAATGGCACGTCCCGACTAACCCCGGCATTGCTACAGAAGGATTCTGCACGGCGTTTTAGGGCTTCGTGCAGATGTTTAGCACACGGTGATTTCGTGGCTCAGCCGACATCACAAAAGCCCTGAACAGTTCACAAGTTTCATGCTTCCTGACTTCTAACGTGTCTAATTATGAGATCTGATATATCTAATCACCAAGGGTTCGACGTGCTGCTTTACTTGCTCGAGATGCTCTAATATGTTCTTCTTGGTGATGATCCCCAAGACAATCCTGAAACAGATCACGTTACGCTAATAACTGGGTGTGAAATCAAATGAAAGAAAAGTTCTAATCACAATGAGAAAGGAGCAGAGGCGAGCAAAACTAAAGAAAAAAAGCATGGTGGCAGGAAAGCGAATGAAAGAACTAAATGAAAACCGATTTGAAAGTCAGTAGCCTTTCCCAGACATTGACTTTTTTATTTTTCTCCCCAAATGCTGAACACAGTTGGGTCTTCAACCACCCCCGAGCAGCGTGTTCCTCATACCAAGCACGCATCAGGGGAGTTTGCTTCGTCCCTGCTCCCCAGATTTGTGTCTCTGCAGGTATTAGAGGCACTCAAACCAAAATCTACTCTATTTCCTTGGCTTAACAGTTACTTCTCCTTACACGTACAGATAATTATTCACATTTTAACAAGCCACAGTAGTTGAACAAAGCAGTAAGTGTGTAAAGTCACAGCAATTGAGGTTTGCGGCTGCACCACAGAGCAGGGTTTATCTGCTGTCCCTAAAACTGGACAGAATTCAGACAATTTCTCATGCATGACAGTACCAGTCAAGAGCAACTCCCTGGAATGCATATGCTAGTACAAATTGGAAGAGTGAGGCTCAGTCTTTATACATCCCTATGGGGACTTTTTACAAGGGCCTGTAGTGACAGGACAAGGGGTAACGGGGTTAAATTGAAAGTGGGGAGGGTTAGATTGGATATCAGGAAGAAGTTCTTCCAGGAGAGGGTGGGGAGGCACTGGGACAGGTTGCCCAGAGAAGCTGTGGATGCCCCATCCCTGGAAATGTCCAAGCCCAGGCTGGATGAGGCTTGGAGCAACCTGGTCTAGTGGAAGGTGTCCCTGCCCATGGCAGGGGGGTTGGAACTGGATGGGCTTTAAGGTCCCTTCCAACCCAAACAATCCTGTGATTCTCCGTTTGTCATCCTGATCAATTTCTGCACAGTTCCTATTCCAATCTGGATTAGAACAGTAAATTCATGTGTGTCTTTCTATTCAGTTTGCAGGAAATCTGGCAAAATACATATTAGTCCGCGGTGCCCACATGGCGACAGGCCATGGCTAAATACCACTGGTACCACCATCTACTATTTGATACTGTTGTAATGGACAGCGTGCTCGTGGAGTATCTCGAGTTTGTAAATTGAAGTAGGACAACAAATGTGAATGTCTGAAACCAGCAAATTATTAAAGCCACCGCTACTTGCTGCTACTTTTTTATAAAATAGTTAAAAATTTGTAGTACAGTTTCACAAAGCTTTGCAAGATTAAGCTCTCTTCAGAGTGATTTTGACACCAACGTTTGAGCACTCAACCGCAACAGAAACTAAGAAAAAAAACCATCATAGGAAATACTCTTCACTCAAGTTTTATCAATTCAAATTTCCCTCCCCAAACCAGGAACTGCAGGCCTGCCAAGCGTCTGATCATGCCGCCCTGTCATCAGAGAAAGGGGTTTCCAGTCATTTATGCTTCTGAAAACATTCCATATGGGGATGCGTTAAAGAAAAAGCAGGAGAACATTTTAAATAAATCTGTTTTAAAACAGGGCGGAAAAAAGAAACCTCTTTTTGCCAAGGGCAAAGCGAAGTTAGACCAACCCATGTTTCAGGTTTCTTGAGTTTTTGCCCGTGGACACTGATCCTAAATAATGTGGATTAGCAAGGAGTGTTTCACCCTCCAGGCACCTCAAAGACATGCTAAAGGGAAGGCAAGGTGCTGCGGTAGGAGCTGCAATGCTCAGCGTTTCACCCGGGAGAGACAGGAGAGCAGAAGGTTGCAGGAAGGGCTACGCAGAAAAGGATCACGCGAAAGACAGGAGTCCTTCCGCTCAGAGGCAACTGTAACGAACATTCCCATCTCCAGGGCTAGGGCTAACTCATTTAGCGGGCAATCACACCCCACAGTCTCATCTACCAACATTCTGAATCTTAAAATTACTTTCTTGAAATATTTTGAAGCGTAGAAACAAAGGTTAGTTCCCGATCCAGCAGCAGTTAGTTGGTTAGTTGTTAGCATTCCAAAACCAAGAGCGTGGCGGTGAATGCCGTCGCTAAACTCCAGAAGAGGAGATACAGACTGGGTAATTTTCTCCCTTTTTTATGAACCCAGATGTTCAACAGCTGACACACTGCCAGAACGTGGGGAAGAGCGAGGAATCGCAGGCCTCAGCGCCTCACACCCGACCGAATTTCTGCGAGACAAGGCCTGTCTCCTCCACACGTAAAGTGGGCTGAAGGAGAGCTGATTTTTAAGAGAACGTCTTAAAACGAGTGAAACGGCCTGCCTGCTCACTTGAAATACACGGGGGGGAGTAAGAATTTAAGGGAGGAGCCACAGCACAGCACCCTCTTAACCAACAGTTAGAGACCTCAGGGGCAGGACCAAACTTAGGGGTTCCAATAGCACGATCCTGGACCACACCCTGGTTCAAACACTCTGATCCTGGAGGTGGAAGTTAACTGTACCCAACAAAGGAACGGCACTGCTGCCACTTTACTCACCCGTTGTGTGTTACAAGGCACTGCCTCAGACCCAGCTTCCGGAAAATATCCACCACTATTTCCATGGGGGTGTGGTCAGTCACGGTGAAAGGGCTCATATCAAGTATGCTTCTCAGCTTCAAAGGTCGAGGGCTTTCTGCTGGAAGTGATGGGGTGTGCTGGGCAAAACAGACCCTGGAGCTGCCAACAATCCCTTCCTGCTTCTTTCTAGCGCTTTCTTTAAGAAAAAGAGAAGGGGGGGGGAGGGGGGTGGGGAACAGCAGAGGAGGAAGAATTTACATTCTTGGAGTAAGGTATTTAGTGCGAACAGACAGATCAATCAACGCTGCAAGACTGATGTTACCCTCTAGATGCTGATAATCTGATATTCTGTTCTGCTGTGTGCCACAGCCACCGCTTTAAGCCCGTGCAGTGTTTCTGCAGCCATCACAAACACCGTCCACCATACAGCTTCAGCCATTCTTCGGCTACTACCACCTCTTCCACTCCAATAAATAACTCTTACTTACTACGAAGAGGTGGCAAGACTTAAAAACTACCATGCAGGAAGCACTCAGACGGTGGCTGAAGAAGTTGCCAAGGGGAAAGCCAACCTCGGCTGACTGCTCCCCTGTCATGGCTGTACTTAATGCTGCTTTGAAACCAAAGACCCAACTTCCCATCACTCTGAAAATCCCGTCGTCTTCTTTATACGGACTGGTTTGGCTTTGTGTGAACTGGATCCTCTTTGTGTCTTCACCACCTCGGTGACATCAGCATCCCTCCCTCCACCTGCACTGCTCCACACCATGACAACCCAAGGCTGAGCAACCTGGACTGTGCGCTCAGCAGCCGAAAGGAGTCTCCCCCGTGTATAGTACCCGAAGGATGTTCTGCTATTTCCCATTTACTCTTAAGTCAAAGCAGCCGTAAACCAGTACGACGTCTACGGTAATTCCCAAGTGTTGGACCTTCACATACGTCTTACACGGCGTAAGACCGCGGTATACGCAGTATTACAACCAGAGGCAAAAGTTTTACCGAAATAACCAATTTTCTGACACCAAATGCCACAGTTCTGTAACATTTTCTTACATAATAAGGATTTTTTGCTTACGATAATATCCTCAAAAGCCACAGATTTTTTTTCTTGCCAACGAACAAAGCCCTGTCACAGAAATCACACAAGTCCACCCAGAGAAAGGTGGCTGAAAGAGGGCTTGTGTGCTGCTGTGCCCAGGGACAGGCTTCCCGTTACACAGACAAACGGAAAACCAGAAACCTAAAGCAATGAGTCTTTCAGTGATCTCCCCGTGATGCAGTCTCAGTTGTTACAACAGGAGTGACATGCTCTCAGAGTGAAGCGCTATATCCATTCAGATTTTAAAATCTCTCGGACAGCAATTCTCACAGAATTCTGCTGTTCTACAACAAGAACTGCTCACTTTTAAAGAAGAATGTTAATGCAGTGTCACTTGAGGAAAAAGATTTTGAGGCTAAAGCCTCCAAACAAGTAACGCTACTGGACTAGATGGTGGTGTGGCCTGCTTTGGTGTGACAACCCTTGTTTATGACAGAGACTAACACTCCTTCAGAGCCTGCGACTGACGATGATCGTACTCTTCACTCAAGGAGCAGACAGCCTGTAAGAAGTATGTGAACATGACATGAGTCTAGAAACACTCAGAGTAAATCCTGGTTTAAGCTATAAAAACATTTAAACTGGCATATATAATCATGCAATACTGGAAGATAATTACCTATCGCAATAGTCAAATCTCTTCTTAGAGCAAAACCCACTAGTCTCTGCGATTCTTTTGACATAATAACAGGAAAACCATTATAGCTGGTTTCGTTGATCAAGTTTTCTATGTCTTCAACTGTCATGTTATCCTGGGTCAAAACTGCTAACGGTGGATCGCTCCTTCGAGGTCTCATAACATCAGCAGCCAGTGTTGTGTGAGTAAATTCTTCCTTTGCATCCAAGAAAGGATATCCATTCAGTCGGATGTGTGCCTCGTAGATGCCTTCCCTACCGAAGGCATCTCCTACCCACTTACTGGTCATGACTGCAGCCATTAGGGGCACAATGTATTCCAGCCCTCCTGTTAACTCAAAGACAATCACTACCAGGGACACAGTCATCCTTGTCACACCACCTGCAAGAAAAACGGCAGCCGGTAACATTCCAACACCAGGAAACAACCCGTTGAGAACTTCCTGCCCTCCTGCTAAGAACTACAAACACAACTTTCCCAGGAAAGGTCATCTGACAAACATCATTCCACGTAATGCAAACAGAAGCAGACAGGAAAAGAGACGACAAGACCTGGAGAAGTGAGCTTTAGGGGAAATTCCTAGGAAGTCAAAGAATTAAGGACTTGAAAAATATGTGCATTCCTTTCACTATGTATTTCTATGTACTGTCTATCACTATGTATTCTGTTGTATCTATGAAAACTATGTATTTCTCCATACCACTCCGAGGTTCCTAAGAAATGTAGGGAAAATGGAAAAAGAACAGCGCTAACGCCAGGAAGTCACAGGTAGCAATTTGAGAGCTGTGTTGTCCAAAGGATTAGAAATTCAATGTTGTTGCATAAAAGCTAAGGAGAATTGTAAGCTGATGAACAAAAATATCTCTTTCTTGGACAATGGGAGAAGACAGGGATTTTATTTCTCTTTTGCTGGGATTCAAGACGGTTTTCCTGCCAAGGTATCAGAAGCAGTGTCTTCACTCAGTCGCAGATTACCATCTTTCTTTCAGCGCATTTGAAAGTGAGGCAGGTTGCTCTACTGAAAGACTAAACTTCTCCAAGAACTAAATTTGTATCAAATGGTTTATTTGGCCACTGAAATGCACTTTTCCTTAAGGAAAAGGTCTGCTTTTTCTCAGGATCTGTACTAATGATGTTTAATTTGTAAAGCAACAAAGTTATAAGCTAGGAGAAGACAAGACCTTCAAAAAACCTCTCCTAGTTTAGCTGCCCAACTTAAGCCTCTTTCCATTAAGCCGATTTTCAACAGTTTGTAAATCTGACTTGTTAAAAATATCCCAAGCTGGACTCTTCAGATCATTATATGCTTCTGAAAGTTTTGCTTGGATTATGAATTTCATGAGCATTTTTTACAATTCACGTAGATGTGGCAGCCGATCACGTCACCTCCCTGTAATAATTTCATAGAATCATGGAATGGTTTGGGTTGGAAGGGACCTTAAAGATCACCCAGTTTCAGCCCCCCTGCCATGGCAGGGATACCTTCCACTAGACCAGGTTGCTCCAAGCCTCATCCAGCCTGGCCTTGGACACTTCCAGGGATGGGGCATCCACAGCTTCTCTGGGCAACCTGTCCCAGTCCATTTCAACAGTACTTGACTCTGCAAATCCCACGCTTCACACATTTCAAGAAACTGATTTTTGTGACTGATGTAGCAATGACACCTCTTGATGCCAAAATGAGAAAGCAAATGCTACTATTTAAATTCTTCTGTTTCTCATCAATTTAAATTTCACGCTATCCCTCAGATCGTAAGGCTACAATGGTCTCGTGCAGTGATGTGAATGTATTATTCTGAAGAGAGGGAAGTCCATATAGAAGTGTTCCAAAAGTGCACGTTTGTATCTCCATTTTTAATCATCTGGTTGGCAACATACACAAAATTAGCTACTCAGTTACGTTGTCAGAAGGCAGTTACCTAAGCATGCAGCAGCACCAACCATGGCATAAAGACCAGGTGTAATACAGTCAGCTCCAACTTCACACCACTCCTTGAAAATGAACCAGTCGTGATGGTAGTAAGCCAGCTGCTCCACTGCAATTCCTACAATCCTTCCGGCTATTGCTCCAATTGCCATACTAGGTATGAACAACCCAGATGGAACCTGAAACAAAACCAGAACTGCTGTCATGCTCATGGGAATATACGTGATGCACAGTTTTACAGGTCATTTCCCACCCACCCCCTGCCCCAGAACAGATGCAAATGCTCAAACTGTCACGTGAAAAACATGTAAATTGACATTGCAATATTCATAAAACTTAACACAATGCTACTGACACCTCTGACCAACCTGGGTAGCTGAATCCATTCTGTGAGCACCCTTATATTTTACTGTACTTAAGAGCAAATCTCTCTGCAATTCAGGACCATAAACTAGACTCTCAGTACCAACAGCACGGTTCTTACCATACGTGTGTCCAATAGCTCCACTATTCACAGGTTCACAGAGTGGTCGGG